CTAAATTAACTTTGAGGAAAGACCAAGAACAAATATCCACCCCATGGTTAACGTTACTGATTACCAACAAATGGAATGACATTTAAATTGAACCAAATACTGTTTTATCACCTGCACCAGAACAAACTAATAACCTGCAAGCAAGCATAGTGATGCCACTGCAATTAGTTTTTCTGACTTGGTATTCAAGAAGAACTTAATAGAAGCAACCACAGAAGAACGAGACACCGATAATGTGTCTAAACTGAAAACTTCTGACACTTTTTCACTAGTTAGTATATACTGTTTGTTATTTCTCTCTTCATCTCTAACAGAGAACAAACCAATTCTTGAACAGTTAATAACAGCTGGCAACTAGCCCGATTGTTTCATCAGTCTGCAAAAGCGTAACTCAGGGAAGTAGAAACAGTTAAAAACTAGCTTGTGTAATTACTGTTGCAAGATAGGCATGCAGCTTCTAGCCAGCCCATAAGAAATATCTATCAAATATGCCAGAACAGGATGAACAAACTTTTAATGCTGCCTCTGTTACTCCTTTATGAATATTATACTGTCTCAAAGGACACAAAAGTGATGCCATACTGTACTGCTATAGCCTTGTGCTTCATCACAATACCTGCTATCATAACTGCTTATGCATTGGGTAGGCACATACACTATATATGCATATATGTTATTTTCACTGAAATCACTGCATATATGTAACTTAAAAATAATTCAGCACTGCTGTCCACTCCAGTTTGATATGCTATTTGAAGATTTCCGTGGCCCAGTGTGTCCTCAACAATTCTCAGGGCAGTGAAATAGCTTAAATCCTGCAAATCTGGAAGTCTTTACACTTCTCTTAAAATAGAGATTTAGACGTTTTTGTTGATTTCCTCCATTTAATCTCCTGTAGGTGTTTTTTCTGTTCACTACAGTTTTCCCGTTCCACCCGCTCCAGCCCCAGATCTGAAGGCATAGAATCTGTTCCTGAGGTTCCTTGAGCTGCTGCCCTTGTAGAGATCTGAGGAAAGGCAAGACAAGACCAGGACATGATGCTATTTGATGCTCATTTCTGGCTCGTAGTTCAGCTAGCCCCCACATCCTTGTGACCTGGTATGTCATTTAATCATTTTAATTTGTATTTGTTTCCCTCTCTAGGTGCAAACCATTACTACTGCATCCTGCTGCCTGCAATTATCCTGCCCTGAATTTTGTAGACCTTAGCTTTAACTCTTCAACTACTTTTTCCGATGTATAAGTAATGTAGATCTAATTCTAGCTGGAATTAATGAAGAATAGCACAAATTACATCTCTTTCTAGGGACATTATTTTACGTTCACACTTTATCCCTGAAATCCACAGCAGCACATACTAATGCTGTTTACCACACCAGACCCTATGGCAGTAAGACTTCATTAAGTGACCTATTTCCTGACCTATGTTGATTGAGTAGAGCCTACTATCCTTTGTGGGATAGAAAATACCGAGCACGAGATAACCTCTCAGATACGAGGTTAGACTGCACTACATTTATATGCACATCCTTGCTCTGATTCATGCCTGTATGCACTGTTCCAGAGAAGCTGCAGCTGAATCAAGACTTGCCTTGCAAGCTTCTCTGACTGACCTTAGTTTTGCAAGACAATAGATTATATAGAGTGTTATTCCTCAAAACTACACTTTGCTGTTGCAAGGGGTTGTATGTGAAAGGCAGCCTGGAGAGGAATCAGATTGCAATTGGACATTGAACAACCAAGCTACCCTAATTCACCCTCATCTCTAATCTGAAGTTATCTCAACTACCCATAAAAATTGTTCTTCTAGCCATATTGTAAAGGAAACGTTATGAGATTAGAGGTGAACAGGGAGCGTGCAGATATGAGCGATGAAACGGATAAAGTGACAGCTTGTAACAACTGCAGAGATTGAGAGCAAGACCTCAGAATTTTTAATCTCATACGGCTTCTTTTTTTCCAAAACTGAAGGAGGAAGGAATCCGGCAGTGACTTTCTTTTAAGCTATCCTCCTCTCTATAGCACATATTATCTCCTGTGTGCATTGCCTTGAAATGCTGACAGCTCGACAGACAAAACATTTAAGTGCAATTCCTCCTCTTCAAGGCTATTGCTAGGTGTTTTTGCATAAAATGGAACCATTCTGCTTCCATAATGGTGCAGGATGACTCCAAACCCTTTGTCCAAGTATAAGAATGGATGGCAACCCCTTCGAAGTGTTCTGGCAATACACAGAACACCTGTTTCATACCATCAGCTTCAGTTGCTCAAGTGCTTCAATAAGTTACGTTGACCCTTTAAAAAAAAAAAAAAAAGCTTGCAATCCAAAATATTAGTATTGGAATAGCTTGCTGTTATAGAATATGACATTTTCCTTAGCTGGAAATCCAGGTATCTTCCAATATTCCCTATTTATTCTTCCATTTATACTTTAATAATGCATGGTTGTTGCACGACTACAGAAAAGCTTGGGTACTGGTAAACTAAGTAGTGGTAATAAAGGATTATCCTATGTTTCTTCCCCAAACTCCATGATGCAATTGAAGATCCTTCTGTAATTGTAGCAAGCTGTTTTGACAACTCCCTAGTTAAACAGGTCTCTAGTACTTCTCCTTCTACCCATTGTCTGCAGTGTTTGTTCATAAAATTTCCTCCCAGTAAGCCTCAGACAAGTAAAAACCTCATTGCCATGTCCAGTGTGACACTAGGGTTAGGAATGAGGAACAACTTCCAGCTGCTAACACAGAGCCATGAGAAAGAACTCTATCAAGAGCCACAACCCTATGTCGGTGAAAGGGGGACGAGACAAAATAGACCCCTTTGCTCTAATCCTTTATCCACTTTCCTCTTTCAAATTCATGTGCCAGTTTCATCAGATGTTTGGCTTGCAAACCAGCAATAAAGATAGACTCTTTGCAAGGAGTTCGGATTATAGCCTAGCATCAGAGTGCTGTAAGGAATACATTTCTATTTCTCTTATGCCAATGTTCTCATTCCTTTGGAATGAGTATTAGTCTTCATTGATTTGATCTACATTATTAAAAACTAGAATGTTATGTTTTATTGCTACACCATGATATTATACCATATCACCATACCTCTGAGGTGCAGAGAAATAACTGGGTTGTTAGGATCTGGCTTTGGATATGGGAGACCACCCCATGCTTCAGCAGAATGCTATTTGTGAGATTTTGTTTTTGAACAGAACACAGGTTACCAGAACTGAAAAGCAGATTTTTATCCTTTAATTTCTCTATAGTCCTCTTCTTCCCGTTCTCCCCTTGTCTCTTCACGACTAGAACAGACAACACGGAGGAAATCTCATCCATAGGCTGAGGACCAAAACTGTACTGCAGGGTAAAGAGGAAAGGAAGGGGTGAATGGGGAACATGAGGTTGGCAAGACTAAACAGGGGCTTATAGGGAGAGAGCTAGTAATGACCCATCTAGGAGACTGGGAGGTGTTCAGCCCTGGAGTGCTGAGGGGAAAGCAGGGCTACATGCAGAAACTAGGAACATCCGGCTCTCCTGTTCTTTGCCAGTGGTGCTGAGCAAGGCAGACTAACCATTTCAGACACTGGAGAGGAATGGAAATATTTGGATTTTGCGGGCATTTCACTCACCCTCTTGTACTGCAGAGGAATACCTTCACCATGGTAGTCTAACAATATGAGAGTACTTACTGCTGAAACAGAGGTTCTCCGACTCCTGACTCCTAGCTTTGCAATCTCGGAACTTCACATTTCATGACTGAGTGTAAGTGGTTATTTTAGCCATTCCCAAATAAAGAAGTTTGGGGATTGAGCTGTTGTGCAGCACCCAAACTCTGGGGACAACAGATGAGACTATTTCTGAACATTATTTCTATGTGTTTGGTCAAAGAGAGCTAGTAAGCAAGCCTCTGCCTCTATCTCTGGTTTTGCTGTTGCTGCCCTCTGCTTCTGAAGACAGATTCCCCAAAAAGCCCTTGCAGAAGGAAGGTGGGGGGGAGGTGGGTTTTTTTTTTAGGCTTTCTGATATCCTTCCTTTTGTAAAACTTGCAAAGTGCAAATTTACTCCAAATCAGTTGACATCACAGATTATTGAAAGAGCTGGATTTGTTTTTCCTATCTGCTTGACACAGTTCAGTCAGTTTGTAATTTTTTCTTGCTTTTCACACTCTGTGCCTAAGCAAAGAGGTGCTTTCTGCAATTGGCATTGTCTTCTATCTTAGAACTTAAAAGATAATGTATAAAATGAGGTACAAGATCAGAACCTCAACTTAAGGCTTCAATTTGAAATAGAGCTATACTTTTCAGTGATTTTCTGGAGAACAGCTTAAATCTACAAAAATCTTTTCCCCACCGTGGAATACAGAGTTAGGCTCCTTAACTGAGTAAAAAAACCTCTTAGTTTATTAAGGATATATGATGAAAAGATTTCCCTATTCTGCTCTCCTGACCTTCCACTTAAGAAAACTTCCCTTGTAGTATTTAAGATGTTTTTAGACCTAAACTAGACCCCATACAACCAAGTGGAGAGACTTCCATTAACCTGCACAAATATTTGAGCAGCCCTCTTATATACTGACATGCAATGATAAAAGAGTGTCCTTCTGTCTGTTTGAAGTTTCTACACGTTACTGCATATTCTAAGCAACCACCATATCTACCCCCTTTTTCCTTCAGATCTTAGTACTCTAAAATCATTTCCTTGTGTATGGACTAGATTACCTACAGAAGACCCCATATTTACAGCTCAAAATTTCTGCTAAGTAGTTGAAATTCCCCATGACTTTTTACTCTTACCATGAGCATTCTGCTGTGCTTGAAGACAGAAGCAGTTTGCAATAAAGCCACTTGCTAAGTTAGCGTATGATTAATCTATGCTTACACTGATTAAAGAAAGCATTAGAGAATTTGTTGCCTCTGAGGAACACACTGGTTAGAGAACATTTCTGCAGAAGAAAGCTGTCATACGCAGGCTTCTCTCAGAACTGCAAGATTTCCCTTAAAGACAAACCTTTTGCGAATCAGTGATTGCTGCGCATCCTCTGCTGTGCTGGCACATGGGAGAAGCAACGAGAAGGTGAGGAGCCTCTTCCTTTCCTCCTAGCAAGCAAAAAGGACTCAGGACAGCATTATAAACCCTGCCAACCTCTATGTTTGCAAGTCAGACTTCAATCAGTGCCACGCCAATGGAGGTGGGGGAGGCGTGCCTGACATCCCAATTGGCTGGAAATTGCTGAGTAAGGTCTCACTCTGTCCCTCTGAAGTGCAGAAATCAGACATGCCATGAAACATACCTCACACTTCACCAAGAGAAGCCTTTCTCTGCCCAACACACTCACTCCCCTCCTTTTGGGAAGGAAATACTTAGCCTTAGCTTTCTGAACAAGAGGAATAAGCTGAGCGGTACTGAAGAAACAGAGTTAGCTAGCAGATGAAGAAAAAAAAAATACATCTAAGTCGGTCTGTTGGCTTAATATTGAGCAAATTTAGTGTGTTAGAATAAACACAAAGTAACAAAAGATAAGTAAGTCTTTAAACAAAGCATGTGTGTATTCAGTGTTTGCTTTGTTTCATTAGCTTTTCTGTCAATAAAGCTATTTTGCTGCCACAAAAGAAAATAGCACCTATCTTAGGGACAAGCGGGTTTAGGGCAAATGAAAAAGCCACTTTCCTATTAATAGGAAATTGGTGCTCATTGAAAGATCCAACTCTGTATCTTTGTATTTGATCTTAGAGCGTTCTGGGAGGTTAACAAGCTCAGTATTTACTGCATTTCTTAGAAGTGCTTATACTTTATTTTTACAGCTTCAGTCACATGGATGCTATCAATTAAATTTGAAGATAACTACAGAATCTAATTGGTTCTTTGCTTTTCAAGTTTCAGAGTTCTTCTCAGATCACTACGTCTCCCTGTTTGACCTTTACTGCAACTCAGCATTGGACTCAGGATTATTGTACAGATTAACAGCTTCCATAGGCTCAGTGCTCTGCAGCCAAAATGAGCGCAGACTGCTTGAATAGCCACTGACAGAGAACACACTGCTGCATATGCATTAGTGCTTCACTTCAGGGTCTAAGCATGCTTCCTCCAACACCTGCGAGATCTTCTGGCTTGGATCCAGGAGACTGTAATAGCAATAGCAGTGCCAGTAACACTTATGGGTGATACACCCTCTTCCCAAAGAGCCATTATCACTGATATTAAATATTTACACAGTAGTGACTAGAAGCCCCAGAACCAGCATTCTGCCTTGCTATCCTGTAGACAAATGCAGTTTCTTCTTAGGGAGTTCAAGCCATTTTAAATGGAGAAAATAAGTGAATACAACAAACCAAAAGGAGAAGAGGACAAGGGCAAGTTAATTAAGTGACAGTTACCTCTCATCCCACTGGAACCTCCTGACCACCACAGAGAACAATCATTCTCAAACACATGCAAGTTTTTTCAGGAAGCATTGAACAGTTATGCAACTTCACCACACCATGGCCCAGCCACAAAGAGTTTGCTGAGGAGTTAGTGTCTCAGGACTATGAGGATGCTGTCAAGAAAAGGCACACATCATGTAACCTTTGTCAGAGTGTGGCACTGCTTGTTTTTTAAAATTACCTCTTTCTTACTGCTTTAGAGATCTAAAGCTCAGAATCCTGCTGCGAGGGCAGTGCCAAGCAACCTTTCTTCATGGGATCTGACTAATATCACAGAATTGTTGAGGTTGGAAGGGATCTTTAGAGAGCATCTAGTTGAATCCCCTTGCTCAAGTAGGATTACTTAGAGTAGGTTGCCTAGGACCCTGATGGCTTTTGAACATCTCCAGGAAAGGAGACTCCACAGCCTCCCTGGGCAACCGTTCCGATGCTCAGGCACCTTCACAGTAAAAAGTTTTTCCTTATGTTCAGACAGAGCTTCCTGTGTTTCAGTTTGCACCTGTTGCTTCTTGTCCTCTTGCCCCATCGTCACTGGGGAGAGAGGAGCTATTCCATCATATCTCGCTGCTTGGGGAATACCAAGAAGTGGGAGTGTCTTTAAAGGCTATTAAAGCTGTTTCTCACTTTGAGTGCTCTTTTGGCCTATTTACACGACACAGGCAGCTGCTTCTCCAGCTGCATGGACATAGCTGCCACCTTTTGGCAAGACTGTCTTTCTGCTGCATTAGGCATGCAATAAGCATACCTGCTTGGAAGAGCCTCTCAACATGCTCAGAAGAGATTCTTGATTGTGACCATTTCTCACATATTAGTCCAGACTGAGCACTTGGGCTAGTGCAAAAGCAGCAGCTTTCTAGAGAAAGCTAACTCCTGGGCTTAGGCATGTCAGGTTTAGACAACTGAGCTTAAAAACAAAAACAAAGTTAGCTGGGCTTTTAGGAGATCAACTTAGAGTGTTCCAATTCCACCTAAATCTTGTACTGAAATAAGCCTAATAAGCCAAATAAACCCCCATTTAATCCTGTTAATCTACAGTCAGTTTGATCATCATTCCAGCCTGGAGCTGGATTTGCAGGAGATTAAAGTGCAGAGATCTCCAAGCTGGCTCAGACACAAGAAGCCATTTTAGTCACATCAGTACACCAAAGCAAAGCTAGAGAGCTGTGCCAAAAGGAAGGGCACAGCCCAGAGCAAGTTCCTGAGACCATGCCTTTCACATGGCCCTATGGGGTTATACCCGCTCACTGAGCTAGCATGGGAATCTCAGCACCATACTCCTACTACATTCAGTGTAGGAGTAACTGCAAATAGGAAAAAATAACAAGGCTATGTGTAGACTGTGCTACAAGAAGTCTTAAGAAGAATTTTCTTACAAGTTTAGGTACATTAACAAGATAACACACTGAAAATGTTGAGCTAGCAGGACAAGCATAAATGGGTGTTAAGCCCACTTTGGGCAAGTTAAACTGAGCTTAAATACATCCTAGGAGAACCAGAGCTAAAAACAACATACAAGTGTTCAACCCAATGATTACTCTCTGATCCCAAGAGAAGGGGTGCTGATATTCAGTAATGTCTGCAATGCCGGAATGGCTTCTCTGAGGAAACACATGAGAGTTTAATCCGGACACTAAAATCTGTTGAAATAATGAAAGAAACTTCATAGACTTCAGTAGTCACTCTAGAATATATGCAGCCTTGCCATATAGCCTTATTTTCATAGGGAATCTTTTTCTAAATCTATCTGAACTTCATGCTGAATGAGAACAAGCTATATTTAGTCTTGGAGCACAGAACAAGGAGTACAATTTTGTGGTTTATTAATTATGTGGATTAATTTGCACAAGACTTTATATGAGCACAGTACCAAAAAGAAAATAAGAAGGAAATTGAGATAATTTCAAAGGAAAGGTCATCAATTATTTAATACATAAATATTGTACACTGAGGCTGAATTTGAGTTTTTATTTATCTTCTATAGTTTCTCATTCTGCCTGTGAATGTATAGTGACTTTATGTGTATAATTTTAAGAACTGTACGAACTATGCACAAATGCATACGTGAAATTATTAAAAAAAGTCATTTAATGGTGCAGAAATATCTGTTATAATAATATTGCACTTTTTTATTAGTACTAGCATTGATTGTTGCTTTAATATATGCTCTAAGGCTTCTGAGAGAGCCTATCTACACCCAAAAACAGAGTTTAGACTTACATGGGAACTTCCTGTTCTGCCACCCTTGGCAATAAATAAATATATCTTAAAGCAAGAGGTAACATTACTAGGAATTCTAGTAAGCAGATCATGCTGATAAACATGCTCCATTATTAAGCATGTGATGAGGATTTTGTGGAATAAATATAGGCCGTGGGGATTTTATGGTAAATGCTGAGTTTTATTGAAAAAGAAATTGCAGTTAATTATCTCTCTCAAAGGATGTGACTTCTGGGGCACTTACTGCTAATGCAAACAATGACAGTGTCAGTTATTTAGCAGAACAGCAACTGGAAGGTTACTCAAGAAAAAAGACTCTTCTTGGAAGTTATGCAAGTGCTGTAAGCCGGTCAAGTTATAACACAAGGAACATAAGGAACATGTTATAGTTTTAAGTTCTATTACAAAAAAAAGCATTTGGTTTACCATTTCTTAGCAGAGTTTCTTTTTCAGCACAGAAACCATGTACTGAGGAATTTGCACTGAATGACAGATATTAAGATGTGTGCAGAGGGGCATATAAATGGAAGGAAGACCTGGAATCTGATGTGAACCAAGACAATTGTAGTAGATATATTTTAAAATATTTCACATGCAATAAATTAAATCCTTACTTGAAATATAAGACAAAAGATAAAAGTGGAGACAGATACTGTCACCTTATATTCACTTATTAGTCAGCATGATAGGAGCCTGTTCACCTGAGGTTAAACACACCACAACCTGTGCCAGCACACCGTACTGTGCTGCCTCAAGAAATATGCAGCCGAAAAGGGCAAGCAATAACCACTCATCATTAACTCCCCCCAACTTTTCTCTTAACATACTATTCCAGTATGCCCAAATTCAACACCCCAGCTTATAAGGAAATACATAAACATGGAAAAAAATCCATCTATTTGATTAGATATAGTCTTCAACTTACTACATTCTCAGTTTAGGCTGTAAATTTATTCTCTTGTAGTTTCTTTCAAGAAATCATCAATCTTTCCTCTTGAGGAACTCTCAATTCTCTTTTATACCACTTGTCCTAGGAATGTTAACCCATCCTAAATTCAGATGAACTGACTGATTAAGCAAAGCAGCCCAGCTGCATTCCCTCTGCTCAAGAGTTCCTGGAAAAGGAGGAACTCTTAACCACAGCTGGATAGGAAGTTTCACACCTAGTAACTGATGGGACAAGGGGATCAATTTCCTTGAGCATTATTCTGTGGCTATTGCCCTTGACAATAATTTAAAATATAACATGAATTATATTCAGTATAAAGCAAAGTCAACAGAAAATTTTGCAGCTTATTCAACTTTTTACAAAGGTCTCTGGTTACAATCAGAGCAAAATTAGGCCAAAATAAACATTAAAAAAAAACTCGATGGTTTCTACAGAAATATGTTAAACCAATCCTGTATGCTTTGAGAAGTGCTTATGTCTTTGATTTAGGCACTAGTCTGTGGTGGGGACTTAGCCACTATGGGATATGAAGGGAGATCTTTAAAATCACATAATTTAGATAAATTTCCAAATTTAGATTCTAG